GCAGACAGACCCCAGACACAGCAGACAGACAGACCCCTGACACTACAGACAGACAGACCCCTGACACGGCAGACAGACAGATCCCTGACACCGGAACCAGTTGCTGACCAGATGTCATGAGCCAATCGTAAAATGATTCCTGTACAGTAAGGTCTATATTCAATCACTTCAGAGCACACTTACCCGCAGCTGGAACTCCCCTTGCAGCCTTAAAAGGAGTCTTCGAGCTTCTCTCTGGGTGGCCATTTTGCCACCTTGTCAGATGGTTTAACCCCAGCATGCTGGAATTTTTATTCTCAAGAAATTAAATGCTCTTGTTGATTGAGTACGTGTCTGGTGGTCTTTTGTGGGACTTCTCAAGGACCCTAACATTGATCATCTCATGCCTAGACATGATTAAGTGCACATATGACCACAATTATTCACACCTGGGAAGAAGGCAGAAGTTTCTGTGTTCTGATCAAAGCAAAACAACAAACAAACAAAACACTCACCCATGCTGTGCCCCTAGCAAGCACACCTCTACAGGATGGTCCCAGTAGAGAACTTGGGCTTTAGGTAAAGTCTCCTGCTGCATGTAGTCTTTTGTTCTCTCTTCACTTTTTTTTTTTTTTTTTTTGGTTTTTCCAGACAGGGTTTCTCTGTGTAGTTTTGCACCTTTCCTGGATCTCACTTTGTAGACCAGGCTGGCCTCGAACTCCCACGTGCTGGGACTAAAGGTGTGAGCCACCACCGCCCGGCATCTCTCTTTACTTCTTGAAGCAGGGAACTGAGAACAAAGGCCACAACTGTAGCAGGGCTATGGTGGCACATGCCTTTAATCCCAGTACTCGGGAGGCAGAATCAAGGAGATGTCTGTGAGTTTAAGGCCAGCCTGGTCTATGGAGCAAGTTCCAGGACAGCCTGGGCTACCCTGTCTTGAAAAAACAAACCATTCATAGAAACTTCTGTGAATGTTCTAAACATGCTATACATCCGTAACAGGTGAGTGGGAGGGGCTGAGATGGGAGGTTGGCCAAGGCATTACAGAAACATTCTTATGCTCTACCCGACAGTAAGTATACTCTGACCTTGGTCCCTACATGCATTGCGTTTAGGTTTGTTTCCCACATAGACATATAGAAAGTGGAGAATCCAGCTGGGCATGGTGGCACACGCCTTTAATCCCAGCACTCAGGAGACAGAGGCAGATGGATCTCTAGGAGTTCAAGGCCAGCCTGGTCTATATAGTGAGTTCTAGAACAGCCCACCCCCAAAAAAAGAAAATGGGGAATTGTAACTGTTCTGACAGGAATAAAGATATTCTAATCAGATCTTGCGTCTCTCAATCTATCAGAGGACTGAAACACTACACCCCTGAGAAATGAGCATTTCCTCAGGAATCTCATGCTGGAGGGCGACTGAGGGACAGGGTCATAACCTGCTGTGGGGTATCCCCCAGAGAAGACTGATTGGACGTGGGTGTAAGCCAAGAGAAAGTCTTTATTTCCGGGTCAGCGACTACACTGGGTGTTCAGGATTCCACTGTAGCCCTGAGCCTTCCTCAGGAGGAGCTTTTAAGCACTAAAACCATGTTAAGGGTTGACATGTACTTCAGTTAACAAGAACAGTTGGCCAGAGGTGGAACTACAGCAGCCCAAAGGCAAGATTAGCACATTTAGAGACTTTCCCATGTCATGGGCTTTGAAGGAGTAGGTCTTTGTTTTCATTTTGTGAAGCACGTGGTGTTGTCTACATGCTGAGTGTCATGGCCTGAGTGGCATTTCCGTTATGGAGTCACACTGAGGTCTGGGGGACCCTTACAGGACCCAGTGGGAAGGATTAGGGCAGGGATCGCCCAGGAGCTGCAGGGAGATTGCTGGAATCTGTATACAACAGATCTTTTGTTTGTGCTTCTTTTGAGACAGTCTCACACTCTAGCCCTAGCTGGCCTTGGATTCACAGCAACCCTGCTGCCTCTGCTTCCTGTGTGCTGTGGGATTACCTGGCTTCAGTTTGATTATTTAACAGAATGCTGAGAAAAACAGATCTTCGAGGATGGCAGAGACCAAGGCTGGGTGGTGGTGAGAAACTCACAAATGGTGCCTGGTTTCCCCTAGCGGACCTGTTTTGTGATCTCCTTCAGGAGACAGTCTCACTCCCCCAAGGGCCAGAGCCCTTGTTGAGAAAGGCCTGCCTGTTCTCACGATCCTCTCCTACCTTCCTGCAAGAAGCAGATCTGAGCCCCCCCCTGACCCCCCCCCAGACTCCTTACTACCCACTCCATCCACCTAGTAATGAACAGGCCTTCCAGGCCCTGTGTTCAGTTTTGAGAAGATCTACCCACTGGGGAATGCTGGTCTTGGACAGACCCCTTCCCTACCAGCTGCCTCTGATTCAGCTGAAGACCTCTCCTCCATGCCCCCAACATGGTCCCTCGTCACCTCCTGTTTCTGCTTCAGTTCCTCTGATGATGCCCTCTTGTCTAAAGTCTGTCACTGACCATCAGCTAGGTCAGCTCAGGATAAATCTGTCCAAAGGGACCTCTCTGGAAAAAAAAAAAAAAAACAATGAGGAAATACCTTGAGCACAGCCATGATTTTCAAGGGCCTCTGTAATTATGGAATGTTTAAAAATATTCTTCATTTCAGGGGCTGAAGACATGTCTCAGCAGTTAAGACTGAGTGTTGCTCTTGCAGAGGACCTGAGCTTGGCTCCCAGCCACCTCTAACTGCAGCTTCGGGAACTCTGACTCCCTCTTCTGGCCTCTTCACGCACTGCACTCACATGTACATACCCATACAGAGATATAATTAAGAGTAAAAATAAATCTTTTGGGGGGACATGGGAAGTGTAATATGGTGTCACTATATATCCCTGGATGGCCTGAAACTCACTATGTAGACCAGGCTGCCTTGAACCCACAGATATCTGTCTTACCCTGCCTCTGTTTCTCAAGTGCTGGAATTATTTAATGATAATAAGTTTGTTATTAAAAAATAACTTTATTTTTAACTTACTTTTTAAAAGTTGTAAATAAAGGGGGCTGGAGAGATGGCTCAGTGGCTAAGAGCACTGGTTGCTCTTCCAGAGGTCCTGAGTTCAATTCCCAACAACCACATGGTGGCTCACTGCCATCTGTAATGAGATCTGGTACCCTCTTCTGGCCTGCAGTCATATATGCTGTATACATAATAAATAAATAAATCTTTAAAAAAAAAAGTTGTAAATAAAAAAGTCATCACATACTGAAATTAACCAGACCCAAATCTTTAAAAAGTTTTTAACAGCGGGGCGGTGGTGGCGCATGCCTTTAATCCCAGCACTTGGGAGGCAGAGGCAGGCAGATCTCTGTGAGTTCGAGGCCAGCCTGGGCTACCAAATGAGTTCCAGGAAAGGCGCAAAGCTACATAGAGAAACCCT